AGTGCATGGATTAATTGCACACCCTCCGTAGAGGCTGAGCCATCACATTTAGCTGAGTGCACTAATAAAAGGATTATTATTTAGCAGTTCAACCTTCATCAACTCATTTTTATCCCGCCTTCCTGAGTTGGTGAACAAAATTAATGAGGATGCTGTGGCCATGCCTTACAGCTTCTGCTTGCCACCTTCTCAGCAAATTTCTTGCTTTTCTGTACTTCCCTCTCAACTTGTAAGTTACTTTCATTCTCCAAGTTGATGCAAAGATAGATTGTGACAATAGTTTGTGGGTGGCTGTCAGAATGAATGGTGGTTTGTGTGGAAAATGCATAGCTAGTTTAAGAGCTATGGTTAGGATTCCAGAGAGTCAACTTAAAAAAAATTCTGCCTCAGGGAAAGGTCAAGCCAAGTGTTTTAATTATGATGCTGTTATAATATATCTCATGCTTGGATGACCTGGGTTTGAAAGGTTGGAAAACTATGCAGTATACTCAGGTCAAAAAAGGGCACAAAATAATGTGATCTTTGGTGGAGGGGAGAGGAGTCAGAATCTTGCAGAGAAGGCAATGAGGTAAAGTGGAAAGCATGAAGTGTTTAGTGACTACTCTGAACAAAATCATTAACCTCTTTTGGCCTAGTATCCTTACCTGTAAAATGATGTGCAACTGGAAGCTCTTTCTAGCTCTACCATTAATAATCACCCCATGAGGAATGTATTGGAATTACTATTAGCCCTATTTTATGGAGAAGAAATTGAGACTCAGAGGGATTGAGAACATTGCCCAAGGCCACACAGCTAGGAAGTGGCATAGCCAGCAAAGTTATAGCCTGGCATAACTGACTCCAGACCTTGATTTCCTGACTTTGAGAGCCTCTATTTACCTTGCACGCAACTGGAAAAAATTAAATTTTGTACCATTTTCTATCTGAGGACAGTCTTTCAGAGATCTTAAAGGAATTGTTAAAGGCCACCCATCTAGTAAATGGGGGAGCTGGGACATGCCCATTGTCTGGCTTTAACATCCAAGCTATTATAACGTATGAAAACACTTAAGTGTCCATTAATAGGTGAATGGGTGAAGAAAATGTGGTGTATATACACAATGGAATGCTATTCAGCCATAAAAAAGAATGAAATCTTGCCATTTGCAACAACACAGATGAACCTTGAGGGCTTTACTCGAAGTGAAATAAGTCAGACAGAGAAATGACAAATACTGCATGATCTCATTTGTATGTGGAATTAAAAAACAAAAACAAAACAAAAACAAAGCTCTGATACAGGAAACAAATTGTTGGTTGCCAGAGGTGGGGGACGAAGGTGGGAAAAATGGGTGAAGGGGGTCAAAAGATACAAACTTCCAGTTACAAATAAGTTATGAAAAAAAAAAAAGTCCAAGCTCTTAGCCATTATGCTAGTTCTCCACTTATGATTATAGCCATCACTGTCGCGAAGACATGTAGAGGATGAAGTCAGAAGAGAATTCAGATTTATACCCAGTAAACTTTACCTTATTAGGATTATAGGAAGCAGAGTTCAGTAGTCTTAAATTCTGAAATATATCTGGCTAACTAAGGGACAGGTGGGACTCAGGTCTCATTCTAGTACCAGCATAAAGTATAAGGAAAATGCTCATTTAAAAATTTTTAGTCTGAGTTCTGCCATAGCTTGAACATATATGCAAATTCCAAACACCAAGAGTGCACCATGTTAGAGTTTATTATAATACAAACAAGTTCAAACACAATATGTTATCTAATTAAGAAAATATGAACATTTACTATTCTTCTATGGTAACATTCTATTCCATTCTTTGAACTGGAATAGCCAACATTATAGTCTTTAATTCACTTCAGATAGGCCCCTCATGTTGGACCAGTAGGCACCAACTGTGCAAAATAATCTTCCACTTGCAGAATGTTTGCAAAATGGAAGTTCATACCTACTTGTGGTCTTTTATGGTTTGTCTGTCATGCTCCTCATTTCTTTCCCCATGAGACAGTTCAGTGCTTGAGCTGTCCATTAAAAAGCATGTACATGTGTAGGTAGCATCACTGCATGTCCAGCCAAGGACACAAACCACACAAGAGAGATGCTAGTTAACAGTCCTTCACAAAAAACCTGATATAAGGCAATTGCTTAAATGCCATCAACAGCAGCTGTTTACAAGATAGGCTTCAAAATTCAAGGCTCTGTTTCCAAAACTGGCCTGAAAGAAAAGGCTTAAAAGTTTTTTTTTTTTTTATTTAAACCTTATCATTATTGTCCACAAGTTTTACTATAAATAATAATAAATTAAAAGTCCATAGATTATCTGAAATAAAGTTTAGGACATATGTATCAACCTAACCCAGTGGGCACTCTTATGCATTTTAACCAGAAGACAACTCATTGAAATGCCTTCAAGAATCAGACCTCTTTTAATATTATTTCTCAAAATATAAAATATAGTCAGAAGGAAAAAAGATCACAATACTACTTGGTACGGCCTCTATTGGTAAGAGAAGTAATAAATGAGTGTATGAGGAAAACATTCCAAATGCACACCCAGTTTTTTTACTTTTTAAACATCAACAATTTTTACATACAATAAAAAATGTGGAGCAGAGAGCACTGAGACCCACACACATATTTTCCATCTTGCATACATTCTTAAAGAGGAATTGCTTAATCATTATAGCTATTGCACTGTGACTCATCCACATATAGCTCAAATTAGCATTTTTTGAGCTATGTGTTTAAAAAATAAATATATATTCGGTGTAGGTAGCCTTTGGTCAATGTTCATTCATAAGGGGGTCTGGTGGAATCGCATCATACACACATTTAATGAACACGACATACTCAGACTACACGTGCTTGGCAAAAAAGAAACAGAAAGAAATGCAATTTAAAGGATGTGGAGGAGTCTGCCCACCATTCCACTGGATGCACATATGCCCTGGGGATAGTGTGACATAGGACATACTAACCTCCTTGTCCCTCAAACAATTTCCATGAACCTCTTCTAATGGGAGCATTTTGCTGTACCAGTGTGATCTTAATGTTCTCATTAATATAGTCCCTAAGTGCACACCAACTTTGTCTTGTCCTTGATCTAGGTAATCTGTTCTATTGCTGGAGAAAAACTTCACTGAGTTAGATTTTATAAGGGATAGAAGGTGGTCTCCAACATGGCTCCTTCCTGATGACTTTGCAGAGGTAACTTTGGCTCTGCCAGATTTTTTTCTTTTGCACTGACTTAGAATCTAATCTTTGGGTAAGATGAGACTCTACTGCAATCATCTAAAAGGAGTAGGAATTAGGATCATCAGGACTACCATAACCTAAAATTATATTGAATTAGTATTGAGGGCATTGACTAAAGTTTAGGGCATGTGTTGCACAGAGGCCTTTTCTACCACACTCATTTATTGCAAATTCCCTTAAAAAGGGTAGACATGCCTTCCAATTTAGGACTAAAAATGTAGTAAGAATCCAACCTGGGGAACCAAGTGTTCCAGGAGGACTGTCTGCTTTTTGTTTGGTCACCAAAAATATCATAAAATTCCAAAATCATTTTGGGAGATTTCTTCCAAAACAGGAAAAATACTGGGAACCTGGAAGAGAAATTTTTAAAAAGGCTAAGTAAGAGGAACTCCAGCATGGGTTTCCTTTTTAAAACATATCACAGGATACATAAAAGCCTACTATAATCAAGCATGTGTCTGCATGTGTGTGTGCACACATGAGTGGTAAATCCCAGGGAAGCCCCTATTAATTACATTGTAGAGCTGTTCTTGCCTTGGATAGGCAAAGGGAGAACAAATAAATAGATTCATATTTTATCATTTTGCAAAAGATCTGGATTAAATAGCTTCACTGAAAGCTGGAACCACCCTTTTGAGCCATATGCATCAAAGGGCAGACAAGCAAACAACATGGGCACCTTTCCATGTCAATTGTATCTGCCTTTGTGGCTGAATAGCAATGCCAGCTAGACTGTGGGGCAGAACGGAGAATGCCTCCCTTCACACCTGGAGAGCTATAGTTCCTGACCCTTAAAAATTAAATCCTGTTTGGAAGTCACTTCAAATAAAACAATTTGGTGAGGGCTTCAGCAAGCAAGGAGGCAGGGTTGGCAACTCTACATGTAAAGCGCTTCTCCAGGAAGCTTGAGTGGTACCGCAATAAGAAAGCTCTTCTGATTAAAGGGATCATACACAGCTGACACAGGGATGGATCGGAACAATGGCAAGAGTGGGCTTATTTTTTTGTTTTTCTGGGCTCAAGAGATCCTCCTTTCCCCCCACGCACCAGGCGGGGTCTTTATTTTGGAGGAGATAGATAAAATCTATACATAATGGCGAATAGAAAGACTGCATTTTAGACCCAGGTCTGAGGGTCGTAGTTACGTTGATTTGGAGCCTTTCCAAAGAAGCTCTGGCCAGAGTTTGGATGGGATTAATACTCCCTTGTCCCCACAGTGTCATTCTGTAGTTCAGGGTTCCAGGGCCACTTCAAGACCACAACCTTCTCTAAGACAAAGGGCACCTTGGAAAAATCCCAAATTGGTCAGCATTGTTAGCTGCTGGGGATGGCACAGGGAAGCGATGGTTGACCTCAGCTCTTGGAAGAAGAGTGTGGAATCAGCTACCTGCTACTGTGGCTTGGTGCGTCACATAAATGAGTGGTTCCCAATAGTGGTTCCACTGTAGATGATGCCAAGGCAAAGTCGTAGACTGTTTATTATGTGTCCTCACTGGCCACAGGATGAAGACACAACCTTCAAAGGTATCTTCAAACTGGTAGGAACTTTTGCTGTCAAGTGACATTGTGAAAATGAATGCATAAATGAAAACAAGATTGATGCTTTTCTTTCTTCTCTTCCATCTTTTCTCATCTACCAGTCTGAGAGTTGCTCGGTCCATGGAGACAGGAAATCAGGTTAGCACTCTTAAGTGGGCTACCCTCCCATCTGGAAATAGATTAGACAGAGGCACTAGGTGCCAAGCCTATGGGGTCATGGGGATACTTTTATAGGTTTTCCATTTTTGTCATACTGGTAGACCAGCATCTTGATACAGTGTGAGTTGGCCGGCGAGATCCAGGGGCTACTTGTTATGGAAAAGTTATGGTTGGTGTAAAACTGTACAGGTTGCTTCTGGCACTTGAAGAAGGCCTTGAGTGTGGCAGCCGCCATTGTGCGGAACCTCTTGCTGATGAAGCAGTAGAGGAAGAAGTTGATGGCTGTGTTCAGGAGGGCCAGCATGTTGGAAATGTCGGACATGATGTGCACCAGCCAGCGGTTTTGGATGGGCGCCCCATAGAGGTGGTAGAGAATCATGATGATGCGGGGGGCCCAGAGTGTGGCAAAGATGGAGGTAATGGTGAACAAGATGGCAGTGGTTTTCCCTGTAGAGTAGCCACGCAGGCGAAAATTGCTTTTCCTCCTGAGCTTGTACACAATGATTGAGTTCAAGATGAAGAAGATAGAGCAGGGCACCAAGTACACAGTGAAGCAGTGAATCCAGATAAGGACATGATGCATGGAGGTGCTGATGTAGTCTTCAGTCCAGATGTTGGGCCACCAGTAGTAGGGGATGCTGGTCAGGAAGCAGGTGATGTAAACACTTACAATGACTTTCCTGGTGCGGGCTGGGTAGGAGACCGTGTGGTACTTGAGTGGGTGGCAGACGGCTATATAACGGTCAATGGTTAATGGAACAGTAATCCAAATGGAGGTGTGGATGGATGAGAATTCCAGCACTTCTATGATCTTATTGGCCACCTGAGGCAACTGCATGTTCAAGATGAAATCTTCCAATAGGAAGTCCACAAACACAATGAAAAAGAGGACCAAGATATCAGCAGCAGCAAGTGCCAAGAGATAGTTGTAGGAGGACTTCTGTCTTCTAGCTACCAGCTGAGAGAGGATGATCACTGTCAGGATATTTGCTGTGGAGAGAAGAGAATCTGGTTTATCTCTGAAATGAGATGACTTTATTGGCTACTATGGGGCCATAGGCATACATTCATGGGCACTCTCATGGCAGCCAAAGGGACCGAACCAATGCTTTTGAGGAACAATCTCTGCACTACAAATTGTGTCTCATACAGACATCTGGATACTATTTTGACAAAATTCTATGCTCATATTGTAGTTTATTTATTCCTCACACAATCATTGGAGGTGGTGCTGCCATTGTCCTAACTTCAGAAATGAAACTGGGGCACAGAGGGCTTAAGGAACTCAGAGTCACACACTTAGTAAGTGCTGGTGACAGGAACCAAACCTAGATCCCCTAATCCCAAATCCTATGCTCTTTCTTTTGTCCAAGTGCATGCAGGAAAATACGGGGTGGGATGGCTTTCCCTTCTTCATGTGTTCAGGAAGGAGACTGACCTCTTAAGAACCTTTTTGCAACCTGGATTTTAGGACCTTTCCTTTTTACATAGATTTAGTATTGAAGGCGTGGAGAAGATCGTGACCTTCAGATTAGTTTAAAGATAAATTCTATTTATTTTAGAGTAGGTGCAGATGGTCCCTGATTTATGATGGTTCGACTTACGATTTTCTGATTTTACTATGGTACAAAAGCTATAGGCATTCAGTAGAAACTGTACTTGGGATTTTTAATTTGGATCTTTTCCCAGGCTGGCGATATGCGTTACGATACTGTCTTGTTATGCTGGGCAACAGCAGCAAGCCAGAGCTCCCAGTCAATCACGTGATCACGAGCACTTAAAACTGACACAACTTACAGCTATCTGTACCTGTATGACCATCCTGTTTTTCACTTTCAGTACAGCATTCAATAAATTACATGAGACACTCAACACTTTATTATAAAATAGGTTTTGTGTTAGATGATTTTTCCCAACTGTAGGCTAATATAAGTGTTCTGAGCATGTTTAAGGTAGGCTAGGCTAAACTATGATGTTCGGTAGGTTAGGTGTATTAAATGCATTTTCAACTTATGATGGGTTTATCAGGATGTAACCCCATCATAAATCGAGGAAGAGTTGTAGTCCACAATATGGTGCATTATTAAAAATAATAGAGAGAAGTTAATTTCCCTTCTTGTTGTCCAATCCCCCAAGTACCCCTCCCACAGGGCCATCACAGTAATAAATAGTTTGTCTTTATACATGTCTATATAATGCATGTATATAGTTTTTGAATAAACAGTAGCAGTTATTTTTTTGGCCAATTTGTTTTGACAATGTATGCATATAATTTCTTTTTTTTTTAAGTTTTTATTTATTTAAATAATCTGTATACCCAGTGTGTGGCTTGAACTCATGACTCTGTGTTCAAGAGTCACACACTCTTCAGACTGAGCCAGCCAAGCGCCCCTGAAAATGCATGCATATAATTTCTGATCAATTTTAAAAACAAATGTCTCTCTGAATTAGACACATCTGGAAAGTCTTTAGGGACTCATTCTTTTTTTTTTTTTTTTTAAGATTTTATTTATTTATTTGACAGAGACAGACATAGTGAGAGAGGGAACACAAGCAGGGGGAGTGGGAGAGGGAGAAGCAGGCTTCCCGCCGAGCAGGGAGCCCGATGTGGGGCTCGATTCCAGGAGCCTGGGATCATGACCTGAGCCAAAGGCAGACGCTTAAGGACTGAGCCACCCAGGCGCCCCATTAGGGACTCATTCTAAAATGATATTCTGATGGGTAATATCTAGAAGTGATTCTTCACATTTAATTTCATTCATTTTCACAGTCAACACTGTTAATCCTATTTTGCAAAATTCTCAGAGAATTTATATCCCTTTTCTGAAGTCCAGTGACAGAGCTGGCATCTGGATCTCCCTTTCTCAATCTCACCTTTTAAAATACTATACAAAAAAAAAAAATATTATACACTAGTTCATTTATAAAATTGTACTGTAACATACACATCCTGGGACCACTCATCACTTGGATTAAATAAATTTTAACATTTTGCCATATTTGCTTCAGTTATTTTTTAATTTAATTTAATTTTTTGAGAGAGAGAGCATGAGCGGGGTAGGGCAGAGGGAGAGGGAGAGAGAGAATCTTAAGCAGGCTCCAGGGCAGAGCCTGATGCAGGGCTTGATCTCATGACCCTGAGATCATGACAAAATCAAGAGTCAGATGCTTAACCAACTGAGGCACACGGGTGCCATCTTTTCACTCTCTCTTTTTTTTTAAAGATTTTATTTATTTATTTTTTAGAGAGCGAGCGAGAGAGAAACAGCATGAGAGGGGAGAGGGTCAGAGGGAGAAGCAGGCTCCCCGCTGAGCCGGGAGCCCGATGCGGGACTCGATCCCAGGACCCTGGGATCATGACCTGAGCCGAAGGCAGACGCTTAACCATCTGAGCCACCCAGGTGCCCCTTTTCACTCTCTTAATAGTGTCCTTTGTTGTAAAATTTTAAAAATTTGATGAGGAACGTTTTATCTATTTTTTTTTTTAAAAAGAACTGACAGTACACAACTGAAGTCCTCTTTGAAATTGCCCCAAGCCCATTCTTTCCCCTCCCTTCTTCTTTCTTTCCCTAGAGGCAACCACTGTGCTGTAATCTTCAGGGCCCCATTTACATACCCTTACTTTATAGTGAACCGTCCATTCTACATCCTGCTTTTTCCACTCAGCATTATGTTTTTGAGACCTATTTTGTTGATACACGTAGCTCTCATTCACTCAGTTTAACGACTTTATAGCATTCCGTTGTATAAACTTACTATAATTTATCTTCATATATACATACATAGAGATATATCTATACATATACACACGTCTCTATATATTTCTATATACACGCTTATTATATAGACACATATACACATATATATATGTCTATATGTATATATACACATATTGGGTAGATGTGTGTGTGTGTGTGTGTGTGTATGAAACAGTGTACATTTAGATTGGTTCCAAGGTTTTGCTATTAAAAACTGCTGTAGTTAACAACTTGATAGGACTCTCCATGAAAAGTATTTATATGTGAGAGTTTCTCTTGGGTAGTATGTATGTAGAAGTATATTTATTATGTTCTAGAGTATGTGCATCTTTATCTTTACCAGATTCAGCTGAATTGCTCTGTAAAGTGGTTTTACTAATTCACACTCCCAACAGCAGAGTATGAGATTCCAGTTGCTCCATATCCTCTCAGTATTTGCTACTGTCAGTTTTTTTGTTTTTGTTTTACGTCTGTGCTATTCTTGCTCTTGTTCAAGGCACTTTGAAATAACATTTTGAAGTGGTGAAGATTTAAGGTACTGATTATATTAATTAGCCAGGATGCAAACCCAGGACCAACACCCATGCTCTAAACCACTCTACAATATTGATAATTCAAGTAGGGGTGGGGGTACCATGCAGGTATATTACACTGTATGCAAAAGAGAAAAATAACGAGTGAATTCTACTTTAAGTCACTCTTAAGAAAAGACATCTCATTAAAGCAAGTTCTTTGTATTTGTAAACCTGAAATTTCAAAAGTTTATTCATGCATTCAGCATTGTTTTTATGCATTGACTATGAGCTATGCTCTGGGAGGGGATGTTGAACAAAATATACATGAATGGTCTTGCCTTCATGGAGCTTAGAATCTTTTAGGCAAGAAAAATGTCAACTGAAGAGCCACAGCAGAAAATGTATAATTGAAAGCTGTAAGTGCTATTAGTGGTCAATAAAAGGTTTGTTGAGGAAATGATGTTCAAGGTGAAATTTGGAGAACCGGTAGAAAGTAAATAGATAAAAAGGGTGGGAGTAAAAAGTGTGTTTCAGGCAAGGGAAACAGCATATGCAAAGGCCCTGAAGTGAGGAAAGCATGAAGAGTTGGGTTTCTAAGGAGTGCTTATATTGATTTTCTACTTGCTCTCTCTATACTTTTGCATTTATAGCTCTCTTTTATTAAACAGTCTTGCTATGTTCTGTTGAAAAGTATTCCAAAATGTTTTATTCATTTAGAAATCTTTTCAAAAAGTATTTAGCATTTACCTTCTGTGTGCCCATGTAGAAACAAATTGGTATTACACTCATTTAGAATCTCCACTCAAAGTATAGAAAAACACACAAGTAGCTAAGTATTAAAGAGATAAATGAGAACACACATAGTGATACAAGAGGGACTGGTGAACACATACAGAATGAAGGGTAAAGGATTTGGAAGAAGGTGTGGGTCAAAAGTCTGGCTACTTTGATCTAATCATACACAGAGCTTCATAAAAAGAAGCTGTGAAATATTTCAGGTGTGATGCTTACCCATCAAAGCTAAAAGCATCAGGACTCAGGATTAAGTGTGTGGAGTCTGGTGCTGGGCTGCTGGGGTTTCATCCTAGTTCTACTACTTCCTGGCTTTTTGGCTTTGGGCAGATTTATTCGATCTGTCTGCACTTCAGTTTTCTTCTTTATAAAATGGGTTAATAAGAATGTCTGCCTCAGAGGGTTGTGTTGAGAATCAAGTGAGATAATTTTTATAAAGTGGTTAGAACAATGCCTGGCATGTGGTAAGTTCTCAGTGAATACTAGCTCTTGACTGAGGGTCCACTCATTCAGCAAATGTTAACAGAGCATTTACTATGTGCCAGGCACTGTATGATGTGCTGGAGACGCAAGGATTAACAAAATGTACAAGTTCCCTTTTATCATGGGGCTTATTGTGCGGTGGGAGAGACAGACAATAAGCAAATATAAAAATGTACAAGAGAATTTCAGACAGCGATACTATCCAGAATAAAACCCAGGGATGAGACAAATTGATGGGAGATTATTTTTTAGATTGGAAAGTGACATTTGAGTTCAATTAAGGATGAGAAGAAGGGATCTGCCACAGAGAGATCTGTGGGAAAAGAATTCTAGGCAGTGGGGGCCCTGAGGTGGGAGTAAGCATGGTATTCGTGGAACAGAAAAAAGGCTTCTTATCAGTCCTATTATCATCCCCATTTGATAGATGAGGAAACTGAGGATT